TAATAAAACTGTGTTTTAATAAAGAAGCTAATTAGTATCACTTTCTTAATTGGAATTTGTCTTTGAGCAGTTATTCAGCCTTAACTGGAGCCTATTATAAGTACCCTTTTGGGGTAGAGGTTTGGCATTAATAACTTAACACTGGATGCTAGAGGATAAATTTTCAGCAGAAGGAGCTGTATGTGCTACTGAGCCTGGAGCTTACCAGAAGTTGATTTTAATGTTTCTCTTGCTTTCCCACTAATGAGATCTAAATTATAGGACTTATGGTTAAAAGCCAGATCACATTTTAATTTCTCATTGAATTGCCCATAAAATATTAAATAAGATAAATGCAGCACAATTTTCCAACTTAGGAAATGTGCTTTTTTTTTTCTTTCCTTTTAAATTCTTAGCTGGGTTGTGTTAAGAGCTTCAGCAAAATCAATTTTCTCTATTTTTTGAAATGGTGCTCGTTTGTATGGCTAGGAAGAGGGCGCTGCAATTCAACAGTTGGGATTTTTAGGTGTGATAAATAAACAAAAGCTGATTCCATTATTCCTGTGGTTTTCCTCATCTTTTTTTCTTTCTATGGATACAAAATAATGCTAATTTTCACCTTTAGGAAGAGGTTATTCTGCCATTTCTCATGGCCATTAGTGATGGAAGCTCTAATGTGAAGTATGTAGAATGGACTTGTCTCCTAATACCTTTTGTCTTTTAGACACCCACTTCTCCTGTCAATACCCTGTGGTGATTTTTACAAAGTGCTTGGATGCTCATTCTGCCTGATGTATTCATTATTGCCAGTGAGGCTTCCTTTCACTGACAGCTGAGCCTCTGATGCATACGCTTCAGTAGCTGTTGGACCACAGGCCCAAGACTGATAGGTTAAACAAATATTGTAGTATTATGATATGATTACCTGGAACCACAAATCCAGATTCACTCAAATGAATTAAATTGATTTTGATTTGCAGTCCAAGAAAATAAGGTTCCATAATTTCAGCCATCTGCTCTTTCCCCTGGTCTTTACCTAAGTTGTAATGTTACTTGGGTAGATTTTATTTATTATATAATCTGATTATAGCACAGTAGAAATAGTCAAAACCCTAGTTAATAATTTTTTTCTACAAAAGTACATTCTTATGCATAGGACTATATTAAATATTTGTCATGACTCAGAAGTAGATTTAGTTTTGCCCAGTTAGAAGGTACTGTGCATTGAACACATGGATATACATTGTCTCTCATAACAAATGATTTCTCACTCCTCACTATCTAGTAATTATTTGTAGTCTTGACACTATTTTTTAGATAAAGATAAGAACTTACCTTAATTTGTAGATATGTCAGACTGAGGAAGCCCATTTTTTCTCATCTCCATATTTTTTACTGATATTTAAAAAAGATATTGGGCTCTATATATTAAGCTTCCCTTACATGCATATGGTGACCTTGGACTGGTGGTCCAAGGTGGTTCTAGAATCTTCTGCATATGTAATCTGGTTAATTTCTAAACAGACCAAAAATCAAATAAGCTACAGAATTATAGGCCTAACTCCCAAGCCTCACTATAAGTATCTCTGAGGTGGATCCTGGTAATAGATGTTTTTATAAAAGTACCTCATGTGACTTGAATGCATAGTCAGGTTTGGGAACTTCTGTCCTGAGCTGACTGAGTGTCAATACCCTTTTGGTTCAGTTAGCATCTCTTTATCTTTCCAAATAGTCTATAGTGGAGCTGCCAGAAATCTCTGAGTTCATGATTGATTACTTATGAAACAAGTCTCTGGAAGTTTTATGATATAATTGTAAGCTATAACTTTTGTTCCATTATATCTTTGAATTTTGGTATGTCTTGCATTAAAACTACTCTTATAGAGAATTTTTATTCTCTAATCTCATATTTCAAGAGGCTTCTTTTCACCCTAAAAATCCTGATTTTAAAAGTTGCTTAAAATAACATTGATACCAAGAGAAGACTAAAACTGAGATGAGATGATTAAAAATGAATTTTAAATGGTATCAAATTATCCTCTTTTGAATTAATAAGTAAAAGTTTACTTTTTAGAAAGCATATCATGCATCTTGTTACCCCCAGTGAATCCTGTAACTAGAAATATATCACCTACTTTTGGAAAACAAACTGAAGTAGGATGCATATGAAGGGCACTTTAGCCGTCTGATTAAGCAGAAGCCATTGATGTGTTTGTTTCCAACAGGCCCAGTCTCTGTCTGTGCATCCCATATAAGATTCAGTACAAATCACTTTATAACCTTACTTTTCTATCTTTCAATATAGTGTTTGTTTTCAGAGTTTATCTTTAGTTATCTGTCTCTTAGGTTTAGAACATCTTGTTTTAAAATATCAGAAATTATTTCATACTCATTTCTTAAATATGGACTCTGACTTCCACCATATCTGGATGTATATTTTAAGGGCCTATTTCCATCAGAAATGTTATGTGTGAAATATATGTGTTAAGCTACCAGCTTTGAGCCTGTTTATCTTTGACTAGTTCTGAGTTTCCCTATCACCTTAAAAACATTTGAAGGCCAGGGCTGAAGGAGATGTTAGAATAACACCTCTTTTAGCAACACCATGTGACTCTATAGACTGACTGGTTTGGAATATGCTGACTCTGATTTCTTATATTGCAGGCTCAAATGTCCTAATTTACCCTTTGTGTATCTCTATGAACTATTCTGGAGCCTTTATGTAACCTTGTGTGAAAAATCAGTCCGCCATTTTGTTGTGGCATTTACTGACTAGCTAAATACTAACTAGTGCCCACTCAAAGAATGCAATATTCAAGAAAATGCTGAGTGCTATTTGGATTTTAGCTTACCTGTCAAGAATATTCTCTTTAATATTTTACCAGTCCTCTTTAAAATTTTGCCAGTAAAAAAAAATATTTATTACTATCTTATAATAGTTCCTATATCTTGGTTATATAATGGAAGTGTCCACTTCCCTCTTTTCCAGCTTAGGAGCTTTAGTGTGCTCAGTTCAACCCCAAAGTATACATATGGGAGCCCAGCACTATCATCTCGCTAGGCATCCAGCAGGTCTGTGGGTAAGGGATCTTTAAAAGATCTGGAAGGAGGGATGGGAAATCTAGATAGAGGCAGGTCTCACTCAGCAGCCAGAGGGAAGGGGCAATCACCAAGTGGGTGTGAATTTTCCCCCTGAATACTCAGTTCTCCACGTCCTGGTGAAGCACGACTCTTGGGCACCCTGTGAGTATCCTTGCTCAAGGTCTTTCTCTCAGTCCACTGGGTCCAGTGGAGTATCTAAGAATTATCTGGGGCCAGGGATAAGATGAAAGCCTTGGATTTCATGTCCGTCTTTCCATCACCATTAGGTCTTTTACAATGTCTAACTTTTCTTTTATCATTTTTTTCCCATAATAATCCTCGATAGGATTTCCACAAGGAAATTCCTAATAACCCTTTAGACAAGAACACAAGCAGGAAAAAAACAGTTTATCCTCTTCTGTAGGGGAAGCAGGGCTCAGGCTTTAGACAGATAGTGCCAGATCTTCTGAGATAATTGTCATTGATTATGGGTCACGACCACATTAGAGGATTAGTAATTGGCTTCTCCTGTTAACATCAACAATGACAACAACCACCAAAAGGAAAAAAGCAAAAATAGGGTATTTTCTATTCTGCAGCATTCAAATGAATATAGGAAACAATGAAAAATTAACTGAATAATCTTTACAATGCAATGCAAAGTAAATTACAAAAATAAGTAAATCACTGTAACTAGACATAAAATCCACTTGCATTTACTGTGCATCCACTGGTTTCAGTCCAATTCAGATGTATTATTTAATTGTGATTTATTCCTTACAAGATTTTTATTTGTTATTTTTAGACCCATTCTAAAGATGAGCACACCAACAGGTTAGAGCTGATAAATAACTTGGCCTAACATCAGACAATTATTACTAAATATGTTAACAAAATCTTTTATTTTTATTTTTATTTATTTATTTATTTAATTTGAGACAGTCTTGCTCTGTCGCCCAGGCTGGAGTGCAGTGGTGTGATCTCGGCTCACTGCAACCTCCACCTCCCGGGTTCAAGCTATTCTCCTGCCTCAGCCTCCCGAGTAGCTGGGATTACAGGTGCCCACCACCACGCCCAGCTAATTTTTATATTTTTAGTTGAATCGGCCAGGCTGGTCTAAAATTCCTAACCTCAGGTGATCCGCCTGCCTTGGCCTCCCAAAGTGCTGGGATTACAGGCGTGAGCCACTGCATCCGGCTGGATAAACATATTTTATTTTATTTTTTTCTCCTTGGGTTCTTGTCTAAAGGGTTACTAAAATTTTTCTGAGTTTTTAACATTTTCATTTCATTATTTTTTTTTTCTATAATAAACCTCAATGAGAATTTCCAAAAGGAAATTATGTTGCTATTTCCCTTTCTTACCTTGTAGCATTAGATGAAACCTATAGAACAATGCTAGGTACTAATAGAATGAATGTTGATTCTAATTTTATTTAAAAGAAGTCTGTTGTTTGTTAGCGTCTGCTCTGTAGCGTATTTTGAAAGTCTCATACTATTTGAAATTTTTATGTAGACTTTTAAACCAGAATGCCTGCTGAAATTTGTTTTTCAGAATTTATTTATATAATTACAGGAATTTTCAACTTTAATTTGTTAGTATTTGAAGTCTGTTGATGGATTTTTATCATGTGGAGCCATATATGCATTCATGGAATAAGTACATCTTGGTAGACTTATTTTAATATATTGCTTGATTTGGTTTGCAGATGTCCATTTCCTGCTGTTCTAGTTAATTGGATTACTTGCTTTCCCCAAAGCAGCATCACCAGTACTTTTTCTTTCAATAATAACATTGGTGCTTATATTCTAAAATATCTAGCTTTTCCTGTGCCAGACTTAAAGGTTAGTTATATTTTAATACTACATATTTTTATGCAGCTCCTTAAACCTCAAATCAGAACAACACTAGTAATAGTTGACTCCATATGTTCTCATTAGAATTCTACCAAATATCTGGCTGGGTAGCTGCCCTCGTCAAGTGGAACATGTAACCATCAAACTGAAGCGTGAACTGGGGATTACAGCTGTAATGAATTTCCAGACTGAATGGGATATTGTACAGAATTCCTCAGGCTGTAACCGCTACCCAGAGCCCATGACTCCAGACACTATGATTAAACTATATAGGGAAGAAGGCTTGGCCTACATCTGGATGCCAACACCAGATATGAGCACCGAAGGTAAGGATCAGAACTGTTCTGCCTCCTTGCTGTGTTTCAGAGAAACCCTTGCTTGCTTGCTGTCTGTCTCTCTGTCTGTCTATCTATCTATCTATCTATCTATCTATCTATCTATCTATCTGTCTATCATCTATAATTTAATATCTTAAAAATGAATGGTAGAAATAGAATATAAGATTTTAGATTTAATATATATGATACATATGTTTTGACACTGTGGCTAAGATGCTGTTTAATGTGGCTTCTTTGTTTATTCATTCAACACATATTTATTGTGTATGTACTGGGTATGCAGCATTATGCTGGTAGCTAGGAATACAGCAGTAAAGAAAGACAGGCACAACTTCTGCCCCCACGGAGCGCATTGTCCTATAGGGATGACAAATGTTATAGAGGTTTAAAACTATGATGAATTTTTTTGTTAGAAAAATACATAGGTATTGCTATGAGATTATGTACAGGTAATCAGGCCAAGGAAGGGGGATCAAAGAGGGTTTTCTTGGAAAGTAGTGTTTGGACTAAGATCTGAGGTTGTCTGAAGGAAGAGTAAGTGGAGAGAGTGTCCCAGGCAGAAGCAGCAGCTTAGAAAAATCCTTGTGGCAGGAGAGAGCACAAAGCGTTGCAAAAACTGAAAGACCAATGTGGCTTGGATCAGAGAATGAGGAAAGATGATCCTGCAGGATTTGAGGGACGAAAAGCACTTTAGACGCTATAGGAAGAAGCAGTTGTGCAGTAATACGAGTTCAACACTAATTACAGCACAGAGAGGAACAGGTAAGAGAGGAATGAGGACCGTGCTGGAGGAGGGTTGTGCATGGGAAGAGCACATTCTGGGGAGCGACAAAGGGAGGCTGCATGAATGCCATGGCACTTGAGGTGGGCATGGCTTTGATAGGTAGATGTGGAGGGAGAAAGGCCATGCTAGGGGGAAGCAGCAGCACAGGTGATGGCACAGAAACATGGAATTTTAGAGGAATGATACGGATTTTAGCCCGGTTGTAGAATAGGGTACTTGTCGAAAAGGAATGGAGATAACTACAGTCGGGAGGAGAGAACCCAGTTACACCGATAGTATCAAGCAGCTGTCAGCAGGGGGCAGCAGAGAGCTTTGGAAATGGGAGAGGCTAAGGAGTTTTGTGACCTCCTCTACTGGGTAAAGGACAGTGATATCCAGCTTAGAGACATTTCTATCTTTAGCCCTCTTCCCCCAAATGTATATTATGTACAAAACACTCTCCTAAGCAATTTACAAGAATTAGCTTATTTAATTCTCATAATAAGACTCCAGGCAGATATTGTAGCTGCCTCCGTTTTGCAGACGAAGAGGCTAAGGTATGAAAAGTTATTGCCCATGTCATAGAACTAAAAGAGGCCCATTCGGAATTTCAAGGCTGTCAGTCGGACCCAAAACATTGCTCCAGAGAGCAACTTTACCAGCTTTGAAGCTTCTCCCTGCATTCTTACACAAACGCTTCAGGCAGGTGCTTCAGACCCACGCAATTTCAACCCCTTATGTTCACGATCATCTGGAGTTAGGCAGAGCCTACAAATTTCAAAGGAAGTAGCTTGTCTCCCCAGGAGTGAATGGTCTGCAAGATAGAAGGCCTTGAGGACCACAGGAAACCTACATTCCTGGGCCTTGCCCACCTGAGGCCTTTATGGATCTCAGGTGGTCCTCCTGGCCAGGCTGGGCCCCTTTGTTGGTCTGTGTCTGAGCTGAATTATCCTTGGGGATGGGTATTTTTGTTCCTGAAGGTGGAGAGCGCTGATGACAGTCTGGTTATTCCTCTTGGTAACCTGATGTAAGGAAGCATGATTTAGCTGTAAGAGCTCTGCCCTTCTTCAATTAAGAAAAAAAGAAAAACTTCATTTGCAAAGATGCACATTGGTTGAATCTAGGTGATATTCACCTTGTCCAGCTGGTTTTCCTGGTTTCAAAACAGAGAAGATAGTTAGGATTTGTAGAACTGTAGCTTCCAGAATGTATTTTGATGTTAGCATCTCTGAATCTGATTTGACAGCATCGTTATCCCATTGGAGAATGATGTGAGATGAGGATAGGAGAAGTTGGGCTGCCAACTGTGCCACGTATCCCCTGCCATCCCATCCCAACCCACACACTGATTACTTGAAGGCTCTGCTGACAAATCGGTAATTTGCTTGATAGTTTGGGACTCTGCGGAAGCCTGAGGGAAAACTATATCCCCAAGGACCCATTGTCATTATATTCACACCTTTTTTGCGGTCAGTGGGTCAGCAGGTCACAGTCCTAACTGCTAGTGCAGCAGCAGAGCTTCTTTCAGGCTGAGACAGTGCTGTGGCATTTGAGCTGCAAAATGCAAGCTTCCACTTTAGATAAAGGCCCAGCTGTAAGACCCACTAATGGATTTCTTTGTCTTGGCTTAACCGGGGTCGGGGGTGGGTAATCCAAGGGTTAACAACCACTTTTGAGTGGGAGGGGAACTTTTTATCAATAGACCGATCTCTGTGGCTCACAGTGTTAGCCCAATGAACACATAGATAAATCAGCTGAATATTTTTAGAACTCTAGAGAAAAACCCACTTGGAAGTGTTTTGAGTTGCAGCATAATGCTGTCAGTTGAAGTCTGAGAAAGAAGACAGTTTGTTAGGCTTGACTGTCACTGCTGGTTGTCACAGACCTGTTACAATCAATCGTGTGATCGATCCTTACACTTGTGCACTTTGTCGTATATGGAAGGGTGGTGTAGATTTCTCTCTCTTTTTTTAATCTTTTATAAACATTTTGGTTTGTGTCTTTCACCTAGGGAATGAAAATCTGCCAAATCTAACTCACCTGAACAAAATAAAATGAAACAGATCTCATTAAAATTTTCTTTGCATAGAAAGTATTCAGGTTGTGTTTTGGCCTTTGTCACTGCAGCGCTATTTATAACAAATGTCTACCCTTGCCTCCCAAATGAGTTCATAGGCTTCATGAAGTCCTCAGCTACCCCTCTGTTGTCAAAGTCTGACTTCTTTTCCCTTGCTCAACACACTGAATTCAGCTCTCCCATTGCATAGAAATGCTAACCTTGGAGCCAAGACACCTGGGCGTAAGCCTTGTCACCACCGGGTAGCTGGGAGGATATCAGCAGGCTAGTTCATGCATTAAGAAAATGAAGATAGTATTTTCCACCTTACAGGGCTATAACAGTAGAATAAGATAATTGATAAGAAAGGGCTTTGAAAATCACAATGTTGGAACTATAGGATTAGTTCCAAGTCTTTAAGTTTCTACCAAAGGATGTTATAGATAACGTGGATCCTATCTATATTACACTTCAAAGTTGGAAAAAAGATATGCCCCCCAAATAATATATTCATCATATATCTGCTCCTGGAGTAAGAAAGGAAAGAGTGTGTGTGTGTGTGTGTGTGTGTGTGTGTGTGTGTGTGTGTGTGTGAGAGAGAGAGAGAGAGAGAGAGAGAGAAAGAGAGAAAGGCTGAAAGCTGTGGATTTCTTTCAGGATCAACCTTAGATAAAGCTTATCTTTAGGGCCTTTTGACCCTCTCTTTTATCTCAGGCCCTAATGCCTCAGGCTACTTGACTTACCTGCCCAAATGCTCTACCTCTCCCTCCCTCACAACCTTGACTGGCTCAGTAGTGCTTTCAGAAAGCTTTTAATCAGTCCAGAGTCAGATTAGCCTGGAGCAGGTGTGAACCACAAGTTAGGTTAGAAGTGCTTAGTAGTGTCTCAGATCAAGTAGGTTTTTATTGCTGTTTTTCTAGTCTTGTGTTTATTCATGGACTTAATGAGTGTGTATGGAGCATCTATTGAGAACCAGGGCCTGTATTAAATTACAGAGTCAGAAACACAGAGGGTAGAATGTCTTGTTTGATCTGCAAAGGGTTTACAGTTTTCAACTTAGTTGTCAACATTTAAAGTTTGGAATATTTTACATTAAAAGAACTGGATTTCTGTCTTGAGGTTTTATTGTTTTTAAGAATGGCAACATCAAATTAAATTCTACGTGGAACCTATCTATAGCTGCTCTGGTTGACACTGGCTCTGCTGAGCTGGGCACATCAAGATGACCCTCCTGGGAACCCTCTTTCTATTCCTTGGTGGGTCACATATTAGGTTAGACTTCCTAGAATAGGTTTCAAGCAGAGAGAGATGGTCCTCTTGAGAGGGCTCCTCTAGGGTGGGGCAGAGGTGTTAATCTCCAGGGAGGACATTATTCCTGCCCAGGGTAAGACCACCAGCATGGGCTGGTAAGTGAGTGCAGAGGGACTGACTGAGAATCCAGATTGACAAGATGGGGGCCAACAAATACCATTAACCAGGTGGATTAGGGAAGGACCACAGTACAGTGGTTAAGACCTGCGGCTTCAGAGTCACGCTAGCTGAGTTTGAGTGGCCACTTAGGGAATAACCTTGGGCAAATGTCTGTGCTCAATTTATTAATATATAAATTGAAGATCACAATAGTGCTGACCCCATAGTTGTTAAGAGGTGGTTGTAAATGAGCTAGCACGTGTAAAATGTTAACGACAGTGCTGGGAAGGTAGAAAGGGCTCAATAAATGCTATCTACCATCAACCAAAGAGGGTGATTTGCAGTCACAAGAGATCAAAATAAACCAGGCCTCCAGCTGTGGCCAGGCTGAGATGAGTGGGCACCCTGGACCACCTACTTCTCTGGTACCCTTCTTTTTTAGATGGAGTCTCAGTCTCTCCCCCAGGCTGGTGTGCAGTGACATGATCGTAGCTCACTGCAACCTCCCCCTCCCTGGTTCAAGCAATTCCCCTGCCTCAGCCTGCTGAGTAGCTGGATTACAGGCATATACCACCAATCCTGGCTATTTTTTTTTTTAATTTTAGTAGAAACAGAGTTTCACCATGTTGGCCAGACTGCTCTTGAACTCCTGACCTCAGGCAATCCGCTCACCTTGGCCTCCCAAAGTGCTGGAATTACAGGCATAAGCCACCATGCTCGGCCTCTGATACCCTTCTTATTTATTTATTTATTCTCTATGTTTATTAAATGTTTGTTCATCCTTCAGTGCAATGATTGAGTGATTCTGGGAGAAGATCACTGATGGCTGTGCCCGATGCTGAAATCTGTGTGAAGCTGGGAGCCTTGAGAGCTTCGATGTTTGCTGACATATACCTTTCAGGAGTATGTGCCTGAGATCACAGAACCTCAAACTAACACATGTCACTTTTTAACGTCTAAACTATGTACATACCTCTTGAAGAATCTTTTACAGATAAAATGAAAAGGGAAATGTATTGCATCATTTGCAATATTTGGTGCAGACCCACCCTAGGGAAACCTCTGGCCAGAGAACAGGTCTGGGGAAGGGATCTTGACTGGCACCAGGGAAGATCTTGTTTGCAAGCCAGTTACACTGATGCTGTATGCGCTGAGTGCGAGGGGCTGGGACTCTGAGTCCAGCAGCTCCTTCTGCTGATGACCACTGTGGGCTATTCACATACTGGGCATCTGAGGAAAGCCTGAACCTACGTTAAATGATTCTTCTTTGTTTCCTGCCAAGGCACGTAGTATCTAGAGACAACCACAGCAGGGAGCTTGTCAGGTGATGCTAACTGTGGCAGGAGCAGGAAGAACCCATGCTTCCAGCTTGAGCAGCAGAGTTCTCCTCCCACCCAGCTTTCCCAGGAGTGAACTTCTCATACCTTCAGCAGAACAGAAGCCCCGCAGTGGAGCAGGCCTCTCCCTTCTCAGCAGGGCTGATCCATCATACATCGGAGGTTTTGCTCCTCTGATCCCCCAGCGCAAATGGTGGATCCGCCATGCAGTGCTCTCCCTGAGACATGCTGAGACATCTCACTGTCACACATGAAGCTCTCACCATCCTGTTGCATCTCCAGTGATATTTTAGTACCTCTAGGAGGGCACCATGAGTGGCAGGCCTACCTCACTGTCATCTCAGAGTGTCCTGGAATCAGGTGTGGAGGTTTAGATGAGTTAAAGTTCATGGTTCAGTTTGGACTGTGAGGAATCAGATATACATAGAAGCTGGTAACTCTCTAATACAAATGCCTTCGGGGACCAGGCAGGGAACAACAATGTATGGCAACAGGTGAGAGAGGGATGGAGCTCAAGAAACCGAACCTGTGTCCTTCCTGCCTGAAGGCATTCCGGGTACATTCTAAACTGCTGTGTGGAGCGTGCAGTGTTAGATCTCTTCACTAGGGGGTTAACAGAGCTCCAGCAACAAGATAAGAATATTATCCTGGCTTCCATGTGAACTCTGCCCCTTCTCAGAGCTTGATGAGCCTGAAGCTGAGGTAGATGCCTGGCTAGATGGAATGGCCAGTGAGAGGCCTTCAAGCCACATTGTGGTCTTTGGTAAACTCTGTCCTTCTCAGGTGCTGATGCCTCATCTCAGTGTGTTGTGTAGGCTCCTTCAGGGGCACTTGTATTTCACCAAAGGATATCTAAAGAGGGAAATATAAACTTAGGGGAGTTGCTGTCATGGGAGAATTCTAGGCCTCACGGCAGATCCCCAGGTGAAATCTTTTGAGGGACGGTTGTTCCCATCTCTTTGGTCATCCAATAAGGATAGCAATGTGAAGGCCACACAGGGCTCTTGTATGTGACCATCAGAGTATCCTTTGGGGCCACTGTGTTCCTGTAGCTAGAGAATGCCAAGTCACGAGCATAGAGCTGTAACCCAGGACACTCTCATTTCCCTCTTCCTTTCCCTTTGAAATAATTTACATTGACCACCCCCTGAAAAAAAAAAACAAAAAAAAAAACAAAAACCGAACTTACAAAATATCTCTGTACTGAGAACCTGTGAGCAGGAGAAACTTCAGGCATCCAGGAGCTCTAAGAAGTGACTGTGGTACACCTCTCTGTCCCACGGGATGAGAGAGCGGAGCAGAGTCTACCAGGCCTCAGCAGGGCATAGCGTGTCCTCTCCTGGCATGATAAGAAGACATTTGAATAATCTAATAATCAAAATGGTAACCTTGAAATGGTAATAGCTATAAACCCCAAATTATATAATTTCCTGAAAACATAGAAATTAAATCAGTTTTAGCATTCATCGTATCTTGAGGGAATAAATGAACAATTGGTTATCCCATCTGTATCAAATAATGTTAGCCATTCCATCAAACAAATGAAAATGAGCATATGTTGAATGAACAGATTGATTCCTTTAACTATTATGGGCCACTTCTGTGTTTTACATTTAGCTGGAAGATACTTTTGGATTCACTGTAATTCAGGTGGCCAGACCTGACAACTTTTTTTGTTTTTAATCCTCTAAAATTCTGACCATCTGCAAACACTTTTGATGTGAAAGTGCATTCTGATGACAGGTGATAGGTCACTTTTCTTTAGAGGGATATTTGCATGGATGGCGAAGTCACCCAAAGGAGTAGCAATACCCGGGGAAGGATTAGAGAGGGCCTCTCCCTCTGGAATGCTCTTTCCACTTTACTATTATCAGGTTGTAAAATGATCTCACCTTTTCCTTCACAATGCAGGAAGAAAGCAAAGTCTCTTATCCCTGCCTGGCCATGTGCATCCCTGTGATTTCAGGCTGTGGAGGAGATCTCAGTGGCGGTATCTGGTGGTTTAGTTATTCACATGTGTGCTGTGCTTTCCCCACCGCAGGTCGAGTGCAGATGCTGCCCCAGGCAGTGTGCTTGCTGCATGCGCTGCTGGAGAAGGGACACATCGTGTATGTGCACTGCAACGCTGGGGTGGGCCGCTCCACCGCAGCTGTCTGCGGCTGGTTCCAGTACGTGATGGGCTGGAATCTGAGGAAGGTGCAGTATTTCCTCATGGCCAAGAGGCCAGCTGTCTACATTGATGAAGAGGCTTTGGCCCGTGCACAAGAAGATTTTTTCCAGAAATTTGGGAAGGTTCGTTCTTCTGTGTGTAGTCTGTAGCTAGTCAGCCTGCTTCTGCCCCCTCCTGATTTCCCTAAGGAGCCTGGGGTGATGTTGGTAAAATGACCTAGAAACAAGGATTCTACCTAAACTGAAAGGACTGTGTGACTTCCCCCAAGCCAACCACTTTCATCTGGGATGACTTTCGATTATGCTTTGTTTTGGGGCTGTATTTTTGAAATACTCTACAAGAAAGCTGTGACTCACACATGAGAAGAGGCACGAAGCAGTTAGGCTGTACATAAGACAGAAGGGTAATGAGTGCAGTTCCTGCTGCCTGCGGGCAGATGAGGCCTTTGCTTTACAGCACTGCATGTGTTGCACGATGGATCCATGACAGCACTTTCCTGTTGCACTGAAACTCTTGGCCATACAGAGGAAAAGATATGGAACTATGTGGATTTCATCACTAGTGTGTGTGCGTGAGCTGGTCAGTTGCCAAAGGAAGAAATAAGGTTAGAAGCCTGAACCGTTACAAAAGAAGAGCTCACTGTGGTCAAAAAATGATGGCTTTCAGGACTTCATTTTTATCCTGCCTCACAGTTGTTAAAGTCTATTCCAAGACATCACCTTCCTTCTCTACCCAACAACCCTGTGTAACAACCAAAGTAGAATTATCTCTCATTTGTTGTTGTTGTTGTTGTTTTCCCTCAAAACTGCCAAACAAAGCAAAAAATACCCTTGTTTTTTATAGTTGTGATATCAAGAAGTTAAATTGACCCTTAATGGGCATAGGTAGCTAGCCCAAGGTCTCATGACCAGTCAAGGGCAAGCTAGAGTTAATAGTCTATTTGACTCAGTGCTGTTTTCAACACAACTTGTTTTCCCAGCACCATGTAGTGCATTCAGTTTTGTCTTTCTAAGGGTATGGTCGATATGCCTGCAGGAGTTTCCGTAGCGAGACACAGAATAGTGTTCTGATCAGTTGCCAAAGAGTCTAGGAAAGTAGTTGTATTTTGTGCAAGCTAATTTAAAAACATGATGGGCTGTTTTAAGACCAGAGTGGGAGTTCATGAGAGGACCTATACTACCGAAAGAGCCCAAACGACCAAATCCATGGATAATTGCTTCACAGCCTCGGCCATCCTGGCTCAGCCCTCAATTTAGTATAATATGCAGTTCCTGTGCCTCCAGACTATGCAGCTCATCACCCTAGGTTCTACAGAAAATACAGAGATGAACAACGTTGCCTTCAAAAGTATGCTGCCTAGAAACAGACCTGCATTCCACAACTGCAATGCAGGGTTGGACCATGAATGATATGCTAGAATAGAAAAAAGAGACGTGTTTTTTTCAATTGAGAGCCTCTATGTGCAAGGTGGTTTATAATCATATCCAGTTTAATCTTCACAATATCCAATGAAGAAGGTCTCATTATCTCCATGATAAAGATGGGAAACTAAGGCTCAGAGGGGTTAAATCAACTGTCTGTTGTCACACGATGAATAAATAGATGCAGTGAGATACAAAGCTAGATTTGATTCAAAGCCCTTACTTTCTTAATTAAACTATGATGTGCATTTATTTTTCTGCACCTTCCTTTCTTCCACAAACACATATTGATAGATGCAAGAGACTCTTATTTAGAAGGTGTGGGGGACAAGAAGGATACAAGGTAAGTTTCAGTGGAGCTCAGAGGACAGGGAGATATAATTGTGGCACTTAGGGGAGATGACATTTGCTTTGGGCAGAGGCAGCCGGCCAGGACGCATTTCCCGTATAATTTTACGAAGTTAAATTTATAAGCTAGCATTAAGTAAAGTGAAGTCCAGCTCCCTTGCTAAAAATAACTAGAGGTAATAATTGGTATTCAAGTAACTCATTTTCAGTCATAATGTGTCGTGAAAATTTAATCTTAAAAATGGAATTTTAAACTATGTGTGCGTGTGAATTTCTTTAATGTCTAATCTAGCTTCATAATTTCCATGATACAAAGATCTTTTCTCAGGTGGATTTTTCCCTTTGTTCCTTCTGCTCTGATAGACAAAATCATTTTAGGACTCTTAAAGAATGTTTTGGAATAAATCATCCTTTCCTCAATGAATGGGATGTCTAATGTATTTCAAAATCACCCAAAACTTTTGGTAAATAAAAACGCTGCTTTTGTTGCCTATCTGTGCCCCTGTCCCCAGAGGTGGAGTCTACAGATACGGCAGGTTCCTTGAGCTGCTGTGAGCTCCACCCCAGTTCGAGCTTCCCAGCAGCTTGTTCACCTACTTAAGCCTCAGCAATGGCGGGGGCCCTCCCCCAGTCTGGCTGCTGCCTTGCCGGTAGATCACAGACTGCGTGCTAGCAATGAGGGAGGCTCCGTGGGGTGTGGGACCCTCCCGCCAGGTGTGGGATATGATCTCCTGGTGTGCCTTGTTCGCTTAAAGCCGCAGTATTGGGGTGGGAGGTTACCCGATTTTCCAGGTGTTGTTGGTGTTCTCAGTTCCCCTGCTAGGAAAAGGGATTCCCTTCCCCTTGCGCTTTCCCAGGTGAGGCAATGCCTCGCCCTGCTTCAGCTTCTCGCTGCGGGCTGCAGCAGCTGACCAGCACTGATCATCCGGCACTCCCAGTGAGATGAACCCAGTACCTCAGTTGAAAATGCAGAAATCACCA